ATGATGGCTCTGATATCTTCTGTTCCCTACCCAGCACGCTGGGAAAGGTGGTAAGGAAGTATTTGAATAGTCTTCTGCTTTCCTTCACACATTGGTGAGGTCCATGGACATCTCCATCATGCCAGATGAATGAAGGCTCCTTGCTCCTGAGCTGGTAATTCTGAATTTGTTTTCTGAACGCCTCTTTCAGGTGAGCATAATAATGCAAGAAAGAGCACCTGAGAAAATAATAAATAGAAAGCTTCTGAAATTAAAAAGAATTGCTTTGCCATTTTGGCTGGTCATTTTGGAAATCTATGGAAAACAAGGCAGGTATTTCTGAGCAGCTAGAGCTGCAAAATCATCATGAATCCAGAAATTCAGCTGAATGCAACATCCCCATGACCAGTGGTGGTTGGGTGAATGTTATGTTGAATGATTTGGTCTGTGGCTATTCCAATAACTCATCATGGAAACAGGAGTCCTTGTGAATATGCCTGTTATCAAATGGGCAGAGAAACTTGGAAATCTTGGGGCACTGTGAGCAGGGGACAAACAAAAACATACAGGAAAGGATTGTTTGGAACATCTTCATCCCCAGAGCTGAATGTGGCAACCAGCTCTTCCCCTTCCCACTGAGCTTACTGCAAAGTAGGAGACTTAAACCAGTATTTTATTTGGCCTGTTCAGGGAAAACAAGAGACCCAAAGCTTGGGATTTGGATCATGATATACTCCTCCATTGCTTCTCCATCAGTATTCAGATGCCGAGGAAAGAAGAGGCTTTAGAAGCTTTTAGTGACACTGTTCCCAGAAGTTGGCCTCCATCCAAAATCAGGAGGATCTTTGTCCTTGAAGAGGTCCAGCACAACAAAATTGACCAGACCTTGACCGCTAACAGGGAGATTTGACCTTGCCCTCAACTCAAATGTGTGTCTTCAGTCAACAGAGCAGAGGGAAATGAAAATGAAACTTCAGCTTCCAGTGCAGTTATGGGGTCGTGATGGAAGTGAGCATAGCCCCGTGACAAAAAAAGTGGCACAGATACATATACAGGTGTAAAAAAATCCTTGCTGCCTGACAATATATTTCAAGTTTCTACACTATCGTTTTTGCCAGACACAGAAAATCCAGGGCTGAACCCAATCTAGTACTGGAAGCAGGGGTCCCAAGTCAGGAAAGTTGGACTTGTGCTCACAGGCTTCACATACAACTCTGGCCAAGCTCGTTGAATATCAATATTTAGAGCAAACTGTTTTGTAATAGCAGACCTCAGTAGGAATGATCATGATTTTCTGAGAACTGGATTTGCATTGGAAATGAAGATTTAACCTGAAACAGCATTTGGTACAAGGGTTTACATTTTTTATAGAATATTTGTAAGCTTTTTCACCTCACACTTTCCCATCAGATATTGCCTTAAAGATTTCCTTGTTCATTCAAGACAGAAAGCTTTAGCTAGAAAATTCAAAGAGCCTTAATATTACGAAATAATTAAGTTATTAATTAACCAATAATTCCTTTTCTTGCATGGGAGACCCCAAGTTCTCCTGCTTGATAAACCATTCCCTTGATTAAGCATCATCACCAACCAGCTCTTGCTTAAACAGGGACTCAGATCACTTTTATTTTTTAAACAAAGACTTTAAAAAGTCTTAAAAGCAGCCAGAATGTACAGGGTTTTGCATGTACAGGTTCCAGCTCTGCCACTCTCTCTATGGCATAGCTATCTGCAGACCATCCACAGCTAGGTGCCATCTCCGCAGCCTTTGGGTGTTTTCCTTGCTCATTTGTATTTGGAAGAGCCAAGGTCATAAACAGCAGTGAGGCAGCGACAATCTGCAGGGCAGCCACCAAGAAATTCTCACCCAACCCATCGGTGATGCACCGATAGCTTTGGGACATGAAGCAGGGGGCCTTCAGGTCCAGGTTCATCAGAAAAATGAGAATGGGAGTCACAGGAGGGTGCACACTTCAGGTTTTTGGCACAGGGATAGGAACAGTGGAGACACTCAGAAGGAGTTTGCCATCCTTGTTCCATCAGATTCGTCTGTCTTTTGCCTGTGGATGGGATTCCCAAACAATGTCAGGCTTGGTGCAGCCCCGGGGCTCTCTGGAGCTGTGATGCCAAGATGTGGGGTGGTTTATGCCTAAGAACTCTCTATTTTCCTTTCTGCCTCCGTCCCCAAGTCACCAAACAGAGTTTGCACAGCCCCAAAGCCTCACGTTGTCCCCCTCTAAGAATAAATTGGGTGTTCCACAAGAGGTTAGAGGGGACACAAGCAGGTAGAGGACTGAAACTAATCAAAGAGGCCTTTCCATGCCATATAACATCATGCTCAGCAATAAAATGGGAAAAGATGGGGCTTAGGGAATAGCCATCTTTTGCTCAGGAACTAGCTGGGCATCAGTCTACAGCAATGAGTGATTGTCTTGCTTCATTCCATTGTCTTTCTTTCTTCTTCCACTCTTATTCACTTATTAAACTTTTTTTTATCTCAATCCACCATTTTTCTTGTTTTTTACTCTTTCTTTCCTCTCTTCCACACCCTTTGGGGGCAGTAGGGAAGTGAGTGAATGGCTGTGTGGTGTTTTGCTGCCTACCAGAGCTAACTCATAATGCCTTTTGGGATGCACCCATCTACCAGATTGCCTTGGTTGATCTTCCTCCCCGGCTAAAGGGCATTTTGTGCCTATATGAACTTTTGAAGATGTTAGTTCCAGTATTACGTTCTGTCCAAAACGCCACGAATATTCCTGAGTTTATTAGGGGTGTGAGCTCAAGACTACATTGTTAGGTGAATCACTTGTGTTGTCCTCAGGGACTTTGGGGTCAATGTTCTCCTCTGTGTGCAGGACACACAACTGTCAGATTTTGCTTCCTGCTATAATGCCTAACAGCTTCACGTCTTCTTTTTTCCAGCCCTCTATCCAGGGCTTTTTTTCCAGCCCTTTGTCCACCTCATCAAGAAGTGCATGGGGGACAGGAGGAGAGTAAGCAGAGATTTGCCTTCCTGATGACTAGTCCCAAATAACTAGGTTTTGTTTCTTCACAGCCAAATGTTTGAAGAGTCAACAGAAAGACACAATCAGAAGAAAAACACAGTGGAGCAAGTCCACTGACAGCCACCAACATGGTGGGGGACTTGGACACCTGACATACGGGGTGAAACAGAGAGAGTTGGGTTTGTTCACTGAAAAGATGGGAGGCAAAAAATACAAATTGCAGCCGCAGGTCAGATTCCCATAAGGTGTCAAGGCCACAAATGCCAGTGCTGCAATGTTAACATGTCCTGCTAAGGATCAGGAGTCTGCATGCTGGGCTTGGGGGTGTTCAAGGAGAGGTTGGATGTGGTGCTTAGGGACGTGGTTTAGTGGGTGACATTGGTGGTAGGGGGATGGTTGGACCAGATGATCTTGGAAGGCTTTTCCAACCGTAATTATTCTGTGATTCTGTAATTCTTTTTGTAAATGCCCTCATCTGGAGGCAAATGCACTTGTCCTTGTGGAGGGTAATCAGGGCCTGGAGAAGCAGTGCTGAGACACAGCACCACGGCTGGGATGTCCACACATAAAGACTAGTAGGGAAGGCTGAATACCTAATACCCAAATCTTCCTAACACCTGGCCAGCAAGGACAGACCTCTGCCACAGCTCATTTGCTGCCTCCACCAGGGCTGTGGGATATGGACCAGGGGCAAAACAAGCTGTCTGTGGGATGCCCATCCCAATCACCACCCCACCGCAGTGGGACAG